ATTTTTTTGTGACAAAATTTTTGTTACAATATTTGTGTTGTAATTATATAAATATTTTTTTTATTTAATATTAATTTTAATAATTAATGACTAAATTTTTTACCACAATTGCATTTGTGACTATTTTTTTGTCACTCAATTGTAATATTTGTGATGAAAATTATTGTAACAAAAAATATTTTTTTTGTGACAAATAAAATTTTTATAAATAACTTGTTAACAATGTCGATTTTTTCTATCACTATAAAATTATTTTCTGTAACAGGTGCCTAATTTGTCATTAAGAGCATTAGTGACAAGAGTTTTACTAACAGTTTAAATTTTATCACTAATAATAATTTGTGACGAAAAATAAAGATTTAATGATTAATAATTTAGTCACTAAATATGGATTTTCTTGTAGTGGGAGAAATCTCAATATTTCTCCAGTCATCATATAGTTCAAATTGGAATCTAGTCTAAGAAAATCAAGGTAGAAGCAAATGAAGATCAAATTTTTCAAGACTTTGAAGAGTCTCTTTGTGGGATTGAGTTCATCCAAGAGAGACGAGCTCTAGGATTCAAGGTTTTACTCTAGATCTTTGATATAATGATAGAGATGAGGAAGACATGGAAATATGGCTTCTCCAAAGAAATCTTGGTGGTATCCACTGGTGCAAAATTAATGACAAGCATCAGCCTGTTCAACATAAAACAAAAAAGAAAGGAAATCTTTGAAAATCTGGTCCCAACCAGTAAAGAAGTCCATAATAGATTATACAAGTTGTTAAAGCATGATAACCATTGTGGTTTCTACTACAAAAAATAATCTACAAAAGGAAAAGCTGAAGCCCCATGTGATGAAGGGACCACCCCCTCCGATAATGAAGAGGATCTCATCATCCTTTAAAAAATCCAATGCAAAAAGACGTAAGGACTTGCGTCACTAAAGAAAAAGAAGAGCATCTGCAAGATTCCATGTAATCTGCTTTAACAAAAGCAAGAAGTAAGTTTGGATCACCAGACAATAATGTAAACTTTAATTGTTAGCAATGACCAAAAAAAAGATTCTAAGGAGCGCTATAAAGAGCCTCATATAAGCTATAACAGGTATTGGGCATTTGAACACCCAAATACCTTACTTGAGTACCTTCTACCATGTATCTGTAAAACATCCTTCAAGAGGAAAGGGAACTTTCCCTTTCTCATCTCCAAAATTAAATCATGTTTTAGAATAATCCTTATGCTTCTATCCTTCCTAATTTCCATCATAGAAAATAATGAGAAGAATTTCTGAAGATACTTAGACAACAATAAGGTCATTAGTCTTGTTCAAATACTTGTGTAGCCAAAGTGTGGTTTTGAAGGTTGAACGAAGGAGGCATCGGCTTAACCAAAGGCTAGACTAAGAAATTTTCAGGAATGATTCTAACTCATTATTTTTATCATGCAAAAGCTAGGTGAGCATAGAAACATTCATATTATTGTTTGACATAGTTATTTTTGAGATTAGAAATGATAGGGAAATAGTACCCAACCTCTTATATTTTAAATAGAAAAGTTTGTATTAAGAACTTATTTGTAATGATTTAAGATGCTTAATTTCATTCAAGAAATAATTGTAGATAAAATAGTTTATGAGCAGCAATGTGAATATTATAGAAATAAAATAGTGAATATTTTAGAAAAAATAAGTAATGTTGAAGATATAGATGATTATTATCTCTTCAAGGATCTCAAAAAGTTAAAGCGAATAGTTACAGATTTAAATGAAGATTTAAAAAGACTTAACAAAGCTAAACAAAGGCTATCTTTGCTAGCATTTTTAATACATCTACTGAACTTAACATACCAGTTACACATTAGTTTATAGTTTGAGTTAGGTTCCGAAAACCAAAAACCCAATTTTTGGTATTAGAGCCATAAAAGAATTAAAACACAATGATGTTAAGAATGTACTTAAAAGGAGAAGTAAAGTTTTGTGAACAACAAATAGATATAATCTCAAAGATTAAAAAATTAAAAGAGATGATCCCTTATAGAACTGATGAATTATCATGGGAAAGATATATTGAAGAGCGATAGCGGTAGAAGAATTAAAAATTTTAGCAAAATAAAATAAAAATTAATTCTGAAACAAAATTAAATTTAGAGACCAAAGTGTTAAATTAACAAAAAATGAAAATTGAACTTAATAGTCAGGACCATGAAATATTTGATCAAAAGGCAAAAACCCTCAAACCCGACAAGTTAAAGGGTAAATAACCCTGACCTATAAATCAAAGGGTAAAATCCCTTAAACTCGAAAAGTTGAAGGGCAAAGCATAGGTATATGCCCAGAATGTGGATGTTATTGTAATCATTTCAAAACATTCTGGAAGCGGAAAACCTACGCCTCCCCATTGGGTGGGTAACGTGTTAGTGCCTGTTGAATGCACTTCGTATTTAAAATATTAATTTATTAATTATTTTTAATTTATAATTATTGTAATAAATATAATTTATTTTATTAATAATTAT